AACTTTATCATACATGTATTTGCTCTACTAATGTAATCATTCCATCTCCCTCCTACCCTGGTGCAAGGCATCTTTACTACCATGTGGCAGGGGCCCCAGACTAATTGTGTTTACAGAGACTGTCAAATCATCCTCTGCACATGCTGCTTTTCAGAGGGAATGCCACAGTGAAAAACACCATATGATTCCCCCCCCCCCTTTATCGGGAAGCATTCTTAGGGTTTAATCCAATTGTAACCAGTGTCCCTTGGAGGCGCCGAGCCTGCTGTGTTGATTAACCTTATCTGTAGTCTCATTCATCCTTTTGGTCACACAGTCTGCCATGGGAGAGTAAATATTCCTCCAGACCTTACCTTTTCACCTCTTCCTAATCTTCCTTCCGGGGCTCCTAGCAACTGTCTGGCCCCGGAAACCCAGGTAAAAAGTGCAGGCGTGTGAACTCAGACAAAGTAATTAGTCATTGAACCAATGTCAACCAAGAAGAGGGAAGCCAGGAGTGGCCATCAGGATCTTCCTCAGAAGCTGAGCTGACTCTTGGGCATGGACACACTACGGGGCTGATACAATGCTGGGGAAAGACTGTCCCTGCCCATGACCTTGGTCCTTTTCCATCACTTTGGAGCTTCCATTTTCTTAGAGAAGTGATAAGTCAAGTCTTCATGATCACAGCCTTGTTCATATGAAGCTCTGATCACTTCTAGGAAACGTCTAGATAGAGGTGGGTATCTGCTTATATTACTTTAGGGCAAACCCATGATGAGCCCTGAGCTGCACCTCTTCCTATGGAAGAGCTCAGGAACCCTGCATATGGGAGAATGATTGGGTAGAGTTTCTGCCACCTTGAGTGTCTGGACACTACATTGTCAGGCTTGGGTTTGTTTGTTTTTTGTTTTAAGACAAATTTTTTATTGGGTGTTTATCTGTCTAGTCTCACAAGAAATCCTTAAAAATTCCTGGAAACTGTTGCATTAAACAAAGTAACTACAATGAAGTCAAATACTATAACCAAAATGAAACATTTAAATTCCTACTGCCTAGGTTTTGGCTGCAAGACCAAACTTATTTAAAAAGAATTAAAAAAGGAAGATACAAATGACTTCTGATATCAAGTGATAATTTGCATTCATTTTTTTAATAGTTTGCATGACCTATTTACTTTTTTCCAAATTTTATTTTATTAAGGCACTGTGAATATCAAAGTTATTCATAATTGGGCTCTTGATGTACAATGTTCTATCACTGATCTGAGAACACTGGTGGAGGGAAGTTGATGCTAGGCTTGGTCTTCACCCTCTCCAGACATGAGTAGCTCTATATCAAAGGGATTTTTTTTAATTTATTGAAATATAGAAACTGTCCTTCAAGTTTCTTTTTTTACCAATGAGAAAGATCCCCATTATTTAACTTGTATTGATAACTCTTCTGACATTTCTTTCATTGCTTGTTGAACATTATCTTGGATAATTCTAGCTGATGGCAATTTTTCAACTCTGAGTGTAGGTCTGGCATGGTTCTCTGGCCAGACAATAGTAACCTTGTCAATGCATGAAGTTTTTCACAGGTTCTGAGGCTTATGGCATCCTTGATGTGGACAGATTTAGAATGAAGTTTTACGACTAAAATGGTCATTATGTGGGTAGAAGATGTGATGTGATAGATAACCAAAGAGGGTGTGAGGATGGCCTCTGAGCACAGCCAGAGTCAGGGTCTAGGCCAGTCGTGAACCATGGCCGCTGCACTGGGCCACTCTGACCCTGTTCTGGAGCTGGCCTGGATGGGAAGTGTCCCTCCAGTGTCACTTTCTGGAGTGCCAGTTTCTAGCTGTCATGCTTTCGACAAACATCCCTAATGTGGCCCTAAGTGTCAAAGACTGGAAGCTAGTGCAGGAACCCACATCTGAATTTCGTCTGATAAGGGTCAGTGTGGCCGGCGGACAAGGGGAAGGTTGAGATCTGTAAGTGTGAATGGCACGGAGGAAGCCCTGGACTCTTTCCTGGGGATGATGACCACATGCAGGTATCAGAAAAGACTTCCCAGGTATAAGCCTCTCTCTCAGGGCTAAGTTTCACGTGTTCCATTGTACTGACCAAAGACACAGAAAGACCTCCAAGGTCTCCCAGGCAGCAGGATGGAGAACACTGGGACCTTCTCTCTGCTGGGCTTACTGCCCTACCTCCAGGTAACAGCACGTTAGCACTAAACATCAGTTTTGAAGTCATCGTATCTCCGAGTCCAGTACAATGTTCCTTCTGCTGCAGATGTTGCCTTACTATTTTGAATGATCAGGTTTCAGTTTTGGGTTTTTCCCTTTCTTTTTTTAAATTATAGGATTTCTTCAATTGAAACAGAGCACCTATGCTGGAGAGATAGTAAAGAGGGGTAAGAGACTTCCCTGGCATGCAGCTGACCCCTGTTCGATCCTTGGCACTGCATAGGGAGCCCAATCCCCACCAGAAATAATCCATGAGCACAGAAGTAGTTTTCCCTGAGCACAGTCAGGTGTGACTCCCAAGCCACAAACTAAAACAACGAGATCAATTCATGATCTGCTGTTGGTGCTCCTTCAATAGTTACTGGTTAGTGGCTGGCAAGAGTGTGGAAGTGATGGAAGAGAGAAAAAGGGATGGGATGCCAAGCATTTATGGCAAAGACAGAGCAGGCATTAACTTTGCCAGCTCAGACTGGCATTTTCCTCAGTTGTAAGGACAATAATAGGAGGCCACATGCCTCGAATCACTCAGCAAGTTGCAGTCACCCAATTATTCATTGATAAAATACACCAGACCACAGCCAGTGAGTGACATCCCTGACACCCTGTAACTGGAATTCATGGTTATAGTCTCCTTCCCATAGCTCTGACTTCACTCAGGCATCCAGCCCTATGAAGATGCATGCCCTGTCCCCAAACTAACTCGAACCTCTTCAAAGATGCACCTTAGAAGTGGGGAAGTTTTGTCCTAAAGTCAGTTTTGAGCAGTAGGGAGAACAGGAAAAGTATGTGTGGGTCACCTTTTTCTCACCCACTGGGTTATGATGATGGTGATCAAGTGGCCTCTACCCTTACCCAAGGAAGTTTACTTCTTTTTTTTTTATTTTTATTAGTGAAACACCATGAGGTACAGTTGTAGACTTACAAATTTTAGTACTTGGGTTTCAGCTATACAATGATCGAGTACCCATCCCTCCACCAGTGCCCATTCTCCACCATCAATGATCCCATTATCCCTCCCAACCCTTATACCCCCATCCCACCCTGCCTCTGTGGCAGGGCATTCCCTTTTATTCTCTCTCTTTGGGGTGCTGTGGTTTGCAAAAGAGGCATTGAGTGGTAATCATGTTTGGTCTATAGTCTACTCTCAGCATGCATCTCCCATCCTGGGAGGATCCTCACAAAACCCTTTATTTGGTGCTCCTTTCTCTATCTGAGTTGCCTTTTCCCCTAGCACGTGCGGCTGGCCTTCAAGTCATGGAATAAACCTCCTGGTACTTATCTGGGCTATTCTTGGGTGTTATTCTTCTATTTTGTTCTTTTATGAATGCAATCTTTCTATGTCTGTCCCTCTCTTTCTGAGTCATTTCATTTAGCATGATACTTTCCATGTAGTACCACTTGTATGTAAATTTCATGACTTCATCTTTTCTAACCGCTACATAGTACTCTATTGTGTAGATGTACCAAAGTTTCGTTAACCAGTCATTGTTCTCGGGTGCTCAGGTTTTTTCCAGATCCTGGCTATTGTAAACAGTGCTGCAATGAACAAACAAGTGCAGATGTCACTTCGACCATACTCTTTTGCCTCTCTGGGATAAATTCCCAGGAGTGGTATTGCTGGGTCAAATGGGAGCTCAATTTCTAATTTTTGGAGAATCACCCATACTGTTTTCCAAAAGGGCTGAACCAGTTGGCATTCCCACCAGCAGTGAAGGAGGGTCCCTTTCTCGCCATATCTGCGCCAACACCGGTTGCTTTTGTTCTTTTGGATGTGGGCCAGTCTCTGTGGTGTGAGATGATATCTCATTGTTGTTTTGATCTGCATCTCCCTGATGATTAATGATGTAGAGCATTTTCTCATGTGCCTTTTTAGGAAGTTTACTTCTTAGCCAAGTTGACCTACAGGAAGAAGCCATTAGCAGCCACCAGAGACACAGTTGTATTCTGGAGCACAGCAGATAGGGAGGGCAGGGCAGTGGGAGGCAAGGTGGTGAGGGGCCCTTGGGTCCTGTGGGAGGACATCATTGATTCCCAGACTGGCAGAGAGGTGCCACTTATTAGGCTCCGGACCATGGTGTGCAGTTCCTCAGCATATAGGGGGCAAGCTGAGCTAGGACACTTTTCTGCCGAGGGTGAGAGACATCTGGTGAATAAGGGTTTTGATGGTTAATTTTGGAGATTCCGTAAGGCTCAGGTGTTAGGGCAGTACGTGAGTTTTTATCTTCCTGTGCAACTGTGGTGGTTTCTGTTATGCAGAGTAAGAAAGGGAGGGAGATTCTCTCACTATAGGGCCTAGTATGGGCCCCTGGTCGTATGATGATTGACAGGTTGACAGCATGCCTCACCCCCTGGCCCACACCAGACAATCAGTGGAAGCTCCAACAGACATTAGGGAAGTTTGCTGTAAAAGGGCATTTAATTAGATGGAAAATTAGCCTCAAATGCAGTGTGGAGTGAGTCAGACAAGCATTGAAAGGGTATACACAATAAAATCCCAATCAAAAATATTTAAATGCCCACTAAGTCCAATAAATTGCTGCCTGTGGCTTTTTATGAGTGACTGGGATTTCTTCTGTGTGGTCTTCTCTAGTCTTTAAACTTCCTATGATGAATTGACATTCCTTCAAATTCATGTAGAAAATAAAAAGTGGGTTTTCAAGTCAGAGTTAAAATAACACTAGCTTTGACAATTGCTCATCTATGTATTGCTACCAGACACTGTGTTTTTCTTGAGAACGCTGGTGGCTACAATCTAAATTTCTGATTTCAATCCAAAATATTCCTTTCAATACTTACCTGGCAGGGGAGACACCATAATCACGTAGGTCGTTTTCCCAGGGTGAGGCCCATCCATTGCACTTGGGATGTGCTGACCCCTGCGATTTCCCCACATGTGCGAAACTCAACTGCATAATTTGTAATAGTGGGGGACTGCATCCGCACTCTCCCCTGGTGAGGTTTTGTTTTAAAAATAGTCTTGAGCAGTTTGTAAAGTTTCTAAGCCCTGGAAATTACAGCTGTTCTTGATAGCTCAACGTTTGCTGATAGTTAGTGACTTTATAAGCAACCACGTTCAGGTGATTTGGTGTTTCAAGTCACAGTACTGGAATGTACTGCTCCGTGTTATTTGAAGATGGCCAGTGAGGAAAGGCCTTTTCAGACTGGTCCACAGTTTTCTTAATCATGTATTTCAGTCATTGCTAATTCTTTCTTTTTGGGGGGTCTAAAATTTTTTTTAAAAAGGATTCATTTCAGCAGACGTTGTCTAGTAGGACAGCTCTAACACCAAGAAACTCCTAGGATTACTTTTATAATGACTTAAAAACAGTTTCTAGAGGAGAAACCCAGAAACCAGGGACTTGACCTCACTGTATGAAGGAAATTCAGCATTAGAGACCACATCATCAGGAAACTTATGAGAAGTTTTGCCTATGAGAATGGAATATATCTAAAAGTCCAGAAAGAACCAGTACACGAGTTTTTAATCTCAGGTACTGAGAAGGGACGGAGTGGGAATGGAGTACTGGAAAAGGATATAGTGGCAAAGGAATCCCCATGCACTGTTGGGGGAATATGTTGTCAGGTCTGTGAAGAGGAGGACGAAGACTTGTTTAAAAAATCAGAATAAAACTAGTATAGGATTCAGGAATGCTACTTCTAGGCATTTATCCCAAGAATGCTATAATCTGAAAAGAGATACACCTGGGTCTATATTCATTGTAACACTATTTATAATAGCCAAAGTATGAAAACAATTCAATGCTAAGGAAAGGGATTATGGTCTCTAAACACAACAGAACACTACTCAGCTAGGGAAAAGAGCTATTGCAATTTGCTGCAGCTAGGATAGAAATGGAGGAAGTCATGCTAAGTCAAGTGAGTCAGGAATTAAAAGATGAATATAGATGCCCTCATTCACATATGGAGTTCAAAGAAGAAAACAGAGTACTAGATGGCCTCCACTGGAAAGAAGTGTTGAGATCTGGTCAATAAAACTGAAGATAATAAGGGATTGTGGAGGAAAAGGAACCATAGGACAGTGGTGGCAGGATCTTAACTTTGGTGAAGAGATTGGGATAGCAGCACTGCAAGTAGAAAACAGTGATTTTGCAAAAAAAAAAAAAGTACAGTCAAAATGACATTTGCACTTCTGTGTTCATTACTGCACTATTCACAATAGCCAAAATCTGGGAACAAAAACCCAAGTGCCCAAGAACAGATGACTGGTTAAAGAAACTTTGGTACATCTACACAATGGAGTACTATACAGTTGTTAGAAAAGATGAAGTCATGAAATTTACATACAAGTGGTACTACATGGAAAGTACCATGCTAAAAAAGTGAAATGAGTCAGAAATAAAGGGACAGACATAGAAAGACTGAATTCATTTGGGGAATATAAAGTAACAAATTAGGAGACTAACACCCAAGAATAGCCGAGATAAGTACCAGGAGGTTCACTCCATGGCCTGGAGGCCAGCCGCACATGCTAGAGGAAAAGGCATCTCAGATAGAGAAGGGAGCGCCAAATAAAGGGTGTTGGGAGGATCCTCCCAGGATGGGAGATGCATGCTGAGTAGACTATAGACCGAACATGATTACCACTCAATGCCTCTTTTGTAAAACCACAGCATCCAAAAGAGAGAGAGAACAAAAGGGAATGTCCTGCCGCAGGGGTGGGGGGTGGGGGGGATGGGAGGTGGGAGGGATACTGGGAGCACTGGAGGTGGAGAATTGGCACTGGTGGAGGGATGGGTACTCAATCATTGTATAACTGAAACCCAAGCACAAAAAAATTGTAAGTCTACAACTGTACCACATGGTGTTTCACTAATAAAAATAATAATAATAGAAAGAAAACAATGATTTTGATAGTAGTGTAACTATGATAAAAAAAAATGGATATCTCCCATGGAAAGGGAAAGGCAAGGAGGGGTGGGGAGAGGAGAGGAGAAGAGAGAGGGAGGGGAAGAGAGGAGAGGGAAAGGGAAGAGGAGGAGAGGAGAGGGGAGGGGAGGGGAGGAGAGGGGTGGGGAGGATAGTAGGTTGCTTGCACAGAGAGTGAGGGCTGCTTGCTCCTCCCCTCATGATATGGCACGTGAAATCGCAAGAATGAGCCCCGTGCCTCCATCTCAGAGGCCATCCCAGGGAAGGCTGGACCTATGGAGGGGCCCATATTCTCAAACCGAAAGAATTGCCTCTTATACACCATGCCCACACCAAGCTCCCTCTTTCAGGGCAATGCACTGCACCACCCCATGCCCCTCTCCCTGAGGCCTCTATGTCTGCTGATGACCTTGGCCAGTGCCTTCAGGCCTGGAAACTGGGAGCTTTTCCTTCCCAACTGGACAGAGAGGACATTCACTGTCACAAAGTCAATCTGTGCAGTTAAGCTTTTAGTGCAGAACTAAAAGCAGCTCTCCAAACAAAACGTGAAAGTAAAACAATGAAGCGTGTAAGAAAGGAACGGGTCACCAGGTAATATTCGCTTTCCCAGATTGGGGCTGCTCAGATGGGAGCCTAGAAAACACTCTTTGCAGAGATTCAAAAGGAGTATTGATCTCAGAGAGAGCCACGGAGTCAGACTCCCATCCCTGGCACAAGCACCAACGCTCTTCCTCCCCTCTGCACCTTTGTCACAAAGACCTGTGTCAGGAAAAGACCCGAGAGGAGCTGAAAAGGAGCACACAGACAAAGCACTGTCAGGGGCTGGCGAACCTCGCCTCTCAGTGGCTCCCGGCTGGATGCAGCCCTCCAGGGAACACAGAAACTGCTTTCATGCTGTGGTGACTGAGGCTGACAACCGCCTCCACTTTGTATCTGCAGGAAGGCAGAAAGGTCAGCGCTGGGTGAACCATGGTTCAATGACACTGGCAGGTTGATTCACCTGCTCCTGCAAGTTGATGAAATACCCCCGAGATCTGTGACTGCATATCCAGACTCATTGCCACATCGGATCTGCAAGGACAGACCCAGTGGTCAGAGAAAGGGGTGAGTCTTGTGCTCAGGAAACAACTGACCTGGTTCCTGAGTTCACTTCTGGGACCTGGGAGAGGTTCCTGGCCCAAGGGGGCAGCATCTGTAGGAAGGAAGCAGGCTTGAGACATCAGAAATGGCCATTTTCCTGATGGCTGCCATGAGGAAGGCATCAGAATGGAGAGTCAAAACTAATAGAAATTGGAGCTGGGGGATAATACAGCAGGCAGGATGCTTGCCTTGCATGCAGTCAACCTGGAGACTCAATCCCCAGTACCCCATATGGGTCCCTCTGGAGTCCCACCAGGGGTGATCTCTATTATAGCGTCAGGAGTAAGTTCAAGTGTGGCTCAAAAATAAACAAAACCCAAAAATTCGTCTGGGGTTCCCAAAAGAACAAGCGAAAGAGCCATAATACCTTCATTCTTGCTTCTCCCTGGGAGACAGTAAGTTCTTAGCTCATGTTTCCCTTACAGGCTGGTCTAGCTGACACCTGGACCCAATTCTCCCAAAGCATTGGTCCATCATAGAAGATTCTAGAAGGCCTTCCTCCTCACAGCACCCCGTATGGCATCTGGTCAGCCTCCCTCAAGGAGAAGAGACACTCTTAGACTTGGGCTGAGTTGCCAGGAGGTGCAAGCAAAAGCATACCATGACTGGGAGACTGAGGCAAGATTGGTGGGGCCGAAAAAGAGGGGTTGCATATTTTAGTGGCATAATCCTGCTCCTGGAACATGTGTCCTGACAGATACATGCCCCAAGTCGTCCCTTTCGAGACCTGAGGCAGTGGGGAAGGAGACCAAAGAGGGCATTCAAATAAGTCTCCCCTACCTGGAAACTTGAGGGGATTGGGGATGAAAGTTCCCCCTCCCCTCCCCCACACACTCATGGATCTTGAGAGGCAGACCTTCATTTGTGCTGTCACATCACGTTGTCACTGGCGTGTGAAGGCAACCAACAGGTCATAATGCCAGGCAAGGAGAACCATGGGCATCTGGTCTCTGGGGATGTTGGACAATATCCAATGAAAGGAGTGCTGCCCAAGACGGGGGCTAACTGGCTAACTGTGAGCTACACAGTCTTCAACGCTTCTCCCCTCAACCCTTCAACCCTCCTTTTAAATTCAACAACTGTACCCCCTAAAAATGACCCTTTCTAAAGACTCAGACTCAGACATTTGAGATGCGCCAGATAGATGTGAGAGATAGATCTGAGGGAGCCAAGAACAGGCATACTGGAAGTGGAACCTGAAGTCTATGAGTATAGTAAGATTCAGGCAACCAGAAATTAGTGGAAAGATGTGTTGGAATTAGAGATTGTATGAAGAAAGGGGCAGGATCTGTGAGAAACTGTGGAAAATTATTCTCCTAACCCCCCCAAAAAAAAACTGTCAAGGTAATATAGTCCCCTGGAAAAAATAGGTTAGGTCTTTTAGAATATGATAAAGCAAGCAAAAATGTTCCCAGGAAAGAATAGAACAGTTTAGAGTCTTTTGTATGTAGAGGGAAACATTAGCAAAAAAATAGAATAGGAAATTGCCATATCTTTACTCTATATTTAAGGGTGCCTGCTGATTGGGTATTTGAAACATTCCCGTCTCTGTTCTCAATGTACCCATTGAATGTTGTTGTACTCACTAACTGTCCTTAATGTCACTGTCAACTTAAGCAATGGCTCATGTGTTGGGACCTTGGGAGGTGGAGCGATATTGTGTTGAACAAATGAACATCCTATGAGCTGCCCATGTGACCCTAAAGCTTGGACAGTCCTTGGGTGTTTGTCTCCTTTTGTGTTATCTCATTCTCTGAAAACTGTTCATCTAGGTTCATCTACAATGCATATTCTAGACCTTAGTACCTAGGACCACTCTTTCAACTCCCTGACATTTCTCCAAAGTATTATACAACTGTTTGTGTGCATGTGCGTGCACACACACACACACACAGAGGCAAAGGGAAGCATGCTATACACACTAG